GGAAACACGATCGTGCCTCCCCCACAAACACCAGCGGGGATGACTCTTAGGAAAAGACGTTATTTAGCAAGAAGGTGACCACTGAAGGATGCACAAACTACGTTTACACTCACGCAAGATCGAAAAGAGCGCAAATGATGCATCGGCTGCCTACGGACAACGCACACGCACGGGAGGCGCACTTTGACAGAACAGCAGAGGGTGGCAGACGCGCATTCGGGAGAGCACTCACCCCCGGGAAGGCTGGGGTGCTGGGAGCGTCTCCCATCGCAGGCTTGGGGGAGGCCTCTGATGCCCACTGCATTAGCGTTCTCCACACTTGACCTAAACCGACCCCCGCTTCTGTGTGCACGACACCTCCAAATTCTCCTTGCAAGGAAAGAGCGACTTGGCGCTAACCGGAGAAACCGCTGATGGGGATAGACCGCCTGGCGTTTCTCCGGGAAGGCGGCAGGAGTGGAGGGCGGCAGTGGGGACGGGCCGGGGCACCCTCCTCTGGACGGGGGCGCAGACCTCGCTGAGAGGAGAGTCCAGTGTGAACGCAAGTCTCACCTCGGACCCCAATAGCAGCAGCGGGTGTCCATGCGGAAATTCTGCACCTTGCGTGCCGCATGCAGTAGAGCCAGCTTGGGTGTTCTTAGTTGCATTCTTTTTTTTATTTCAAAAGATTAACAGGGCACAAATGTTTTTGTTACCCAGATACCTTGTAGAGGGTTAAGGCAGGGCTTTTCGTGAGCATTCTTAATACAAACTCACTTATGTGGATAGTTAACTATGCAAAGGTTTTTTGTTGGTTTAAATCCAATTTTTTTTCTACTAAAGGCAGCGCAATCCCTCCATGAGAAACACGCGTGTCTTCCTCCCAGCAGCCAGCTGCGTCTCAGGCATTTTGGGGTGTAAGTAATTATGTGGTGACAGTATTTTTGTCTCTGAAAATCTTTAAAATGTTAATACATATTATGACATTTTTTTATTATCGTGGAGGAGGAAACAATTCCTGGATGATAAAAAAAGACAAGACTTTATCCCCGAACGGCTGGAGGATGGTTGTCACGGAAGCTGCTTTGGCAGCCGCGGAGCCGGCTAATGAGGGGCGCGCGGCCACATGAAAGCCGCGCGGCGCGGCTCCGGCGCGAGACCGTCCTGACCAGCCGCGGAGCTCGGCTGGCGAGTTACCGAGAGAACAAAAAAACTAGTCACTTCCCAGCTGTTCTGTGGCAGGACAAAATGTTAAATTTAAACCATTAAATGGTTCTGGAAGCAAAAGAACAGGTGGCAAACGGCTTCCAAGGCAGATGGTAGTTTTTAATATTTGTATGTGACAGTATTGTAATTTGCTCTACTAGAGACCAAAACTGCTCACTCATATTTCACCTTTCTCACTTGCATGCTGAAGAAATGGTGGGCCAACTTTTAAAAATAAATATCATCGTTCTTAAAAGAAGAACCACGTCACTCATTCCATCCCGCAGGGGCAGGTGCCAGAGCCCCGGCCACACGACGCTCCACCGGAACCTGGCCCCGCCCCTTCCCCGCACGAAGGCTGAGCACGCGCCGGGGCCACGCAGCCCCGGAGACCTCCGTGCCCCTCGGCAAATCCTCCTGGTTTCCTTCATTATGCCCTTGACAAGTGGCTCATTCTTCCTACAAACCAAGCAATACACAGGATGCAAGACATCCCTCCGCCATCCCAAACGTGTTCCTTCTTTAACCTGAAGCTCTAAGGCTTAAAGTCTCTTCTAAAATTATTTTAATTGATATTGCAGGCGTGGGGTGGTCCTCGCTATGTTGCCCAGGCTGGCCTTGAACTCCTGGGCTCAAGCGATCCTCCTGCCTCAGCCTCCCGAGTAGCTGGGACTACACGTGTGCAGCGCCACGCCCGGCGGGAGCTCGAAGGAGAAGCTGGACGTGAGGTGAAACCCCCGGACGACAGTGAACAGGGGACAGGCTCCGCTCTGCAGGCACCCATGTGGGTGGTGGGGAGGAGGGGCGGGCAGGCGCCACCTTGCTGGCAACAGTCTCTCCAGGCAACCCTGTCCTGCTTCTGCACCTTCCCGACCGCACCCTCCGAGTCGGAGCACACGGGTGCTCGGCACATCGACGCGCAACGTGGGGAGGGGCCCTGGCCTCGGGCACTTGCGGGGTTGGGTGCACGTGGCCGCGGCTCGGCGAACCTGCGCCTGCTGCAGGCAGAGGCACAGATACCGCCACACACACACCGCGGGTGACGTACAGCCCGGAGAGGGGCCTGCTTGTGAACAGACCAACGGCAGCCGGGCCCAGGGGACGTCTCCGCACTGTGGTCGCGCGGCGGGAGCGGCCACCTTGCTGCACCTGTCCACAACACTCTGAAAGAGAAACCTCCTTTCGACTGAGTTTGGACCTGGTCGTGGGCTCTTTAAACATCATATGGCATCTTACTCAGAGCTCCCAATCTCCTTGCAGGCATGTAATTAAGGGCATCCTTACGGCTCTTCTTCCAGCGCGGAGCCCGCTTCCCTGGGCCCTTGAGCTAATGGGACATCAACTCCCAGGTGAGCTCATTCTGCTCCCACACAGGTCTGCACGGTGTGGTGGGTGGAGTTTCAGTAACGGAAACCACGGTTTCTTGACGGAGGCTCTACAACATTGTGGGCCAGCTAAGTCTTTACCATGGGGTGGTCCTGGGGGCTCCAGGATTGGGGGACCCTCCCGGCTTCCACCCACCAGGTCCCAGCAGCAGCCCCCGAGCCCTGGCACCAAACACAGTCTCCAGCCATTGCCAAATGCCGCCCCCCCCACCAATGAAAGTACCCCCAGCTGGGAGCATTAACCCAAACCACGTGAGGCCCCTGACGTTCATTGCCACGCCAAGGGTGTAAAATAAAATAGTCAAACCCATTTATATAAAATGGGAATTATTTTATGAATAAAAACAGAATTATTCATCTGCAGATAGAAGTCACACGCTTTCATAAAATCAATGTGAAAGTGGAGCAAACTCCCCAGCGAGCTGTGTTTTCCGGAGTGTGTCCAAGCCCGTGTGCTGTGGACGCTGCCCGGTCCCCTCTGCCCGCCCTGCCTCCCGCCGACACCGCGTCCTTCTGCCCCTGCCCAGTGCACCTGTTTGAAGAGGAGTCAGGGCTGTCCCAGCGGCTGCCTGGACGTCACTGGGACTGCTCACCGAACAGGTGACGCCGCAAACTCAGGCATTCCGTGGGGCGGCAGCTGAGAAACGGCCCCGCCGGTGGGCTCCACCCCTCCGTGCCCTTCAAGCCTTGCTTTTCAGAAAGTACTGGGGGTTTGTATTCCTTACGCGCATGGCCTGCCTCTCTGCCCTCTGCAAAGGTCTCGAGGAGACGGCCAGGACCACAGCACCAGGTGGTCCCACCGCCCAGCGGCCCCCTCACCCGGCACCCCAGGGTAGGTAGGGCCTGGGACTGGCCAAACTGCTCCCAGCTCCGACCCGGTCACTGGCCCGACTCGGCCCCCGACTGTGCTTCAGCTCTGACGCGACCCGCTCCTATAGAGCAGGGTTTTCAGATCCAATGGCCAGTTCTGGACGGGCGATGTTAGCAGCTACCTTTGAGTAACGCCCCTTTCGTCGTGGCGACAGCCCGTTTCTCCAGAAATCTACAAGATAGATAATGTCGACGCTTGTCTTTTTCTAACCGAATGCACATTATGGCAATTTGATTACGGAACTTTATCAAATGCAAACATGAGAAGATGCCTAATTATTATGTCACTTTATAAATCATATAAGAGACATGGAAAGTGAAGCCACCCCTGGGGGACACAGTTTTTGATTCTAAGATTAATTTTCTGGAAAATAGTAAGTCACCCTCCATAAATGTCAACGGAATGATGAATTTTAACCAAAATCTTGACGCAGCTCTAATTTCTGTTCCACACAGAGATTATCCGTGTGTTTCACTTTCTCCCGCACACCCTGCCGCACAGACGCTGGCGTGAGAGATAGAAGTGAGATTCTGCTCTTGAGAATACAACAGCCCACTTATCAACTAACGCCTCAGCCTGTATAGAAACAGCAAGTGCCCGAGGCCCAGTGTTGACAAAGACCACGTTAGATTTTCCAGAAACAAAGCCAACAAACCAAAAACATTCCCAGAAATGGGAAAGTAGTGAAACCAGGTTATGTCTCTTTACCATGAGCTAGTACACATGTATTTACATGTGTGCCTATGACCATCCAGTGATGTGTTTTCTGTTTCTGATAATATAGCAATTAATGATACCGTCTTTTGCAGAATTTCTATCTAAGTTCTCCATATTACATGAACAATTAGAACTAAAACAATAGTGCCATTTCACAAGAATTGAGGATTTACTCTGTGCCATTCCAAATCAATGTTGCTATTGCTGTTTGGAGAAGCCAAACACCTCGCCAGGTGGCTGGGCCACGGTGTGCTGGTCACAGCTGACAGACAGACACGTATGGCCATGAACACAGGCGGACAACAGAGCTGCAGCCAGGCCAGGACCCCGGGCCTGCAGTCCTCCCCCGGCACCTCCCAGAACCCCAGATCGACTGCCAGCCCGGCTCTGCCCCGAGGAGTTTCTGGAAAGGAAGCACGCCCACTGCTTTTACGGGCCCGATGTCTCTGTGCCATCCACACCTCTGGTACTCGGCCCTGCTGTGGTGGGTGGGCCCCCAGCCCACGTGTGCAGCACGGGCCAGCACTGTGCACAGACGCTGAGCTCCTCTTGCACGCTGCCCTTGTGTCCTGCACGCCCCACACGAGAAAATCACACCTGCTTGGTCCTTGCACTACCAGGATGCTCTACGTGCATTAGTTAGTAAAGGGAAGTCTCATTTCTTCCAACAGCAACGCTAGACTTGGTTCTATGGCAGATGCACCTGACCTCAATCTGTTGTCCCTCCCCGGGGCTGGGTTTTCCGTGTCCCACAAACATGGGGGCCACCGGCCCCTGCCTGCTGGTCACAGTGCAGCGCTGGGAGCAGCATGAGGCGTGAAGAGGCCCCGCTCTGTGCCTACCTGCGAAGGGGGCCGTCCGCAGGGGTATTTTGATGGGTGCCAGGGTCAGGAAGTGGCACGGCTGCACGCTGGAGGGTGACGGGGCCCGGAGACCCTCGGGGTCCACGGAGACCATGGCGGCAGCGGCGGCGGCGGCGGCAATGGCGATTGTGGGACCACTGCTGATCGGCTTAAGGCTGTTGTGGCAACCACCTGCAAGAGAGGGACGCAGAGGGTCAGTGTGGGGATGCCAGGGTCCACAGGGGACAGATGCCCAGCCCACGGTGTCAGCACACCAGCCCCCCTTTCGTGGAAGCCCTGCCGTGGCCGCCGCCCCCAGAGGAAATGTCTGTGAAGCGTTCTCAATCCGTCACAGCGATGACGCTCACCTAGCGCCATGGCTGTGTGATGTTCAGTGAGCCACGGAGCTCACAGGCACCGGGACCAGCCGGGCCCATGTGCCTCACAGAGCAGCAGCTGCGCCGTGGTGCGCAAGCCTCGCGTGTGCAACCAGAAACGGTCACGGGGCAGGCGCCCTGACGCGGAGCAGCAGCCAACAGGGCCCCGGGTAGCACAGGAAGAACGTGGGGTGCGTTTGCAGTGGGGGCCACGCTGGAGGGGGGTTTCCATAGCAACAGGGCCGAGCTCGTTCACCCCGCTCAGCGTGGGAAGCCCCTCGCGGGGGGCCGGGCTCCCCATAGAATCCGGCTTGTCTTTTCAGGCATTAGAAGGAAGCATTTGAAAGTTTCCGTGCCTTTGTAGTAAAGCTTTTTTTCTTTCTTTTAATAGAATCCTCAACTCCTCAAGTAAGTGTGGTTTCTAAGAAGTATTTTGTAGGCACCGTTTGTATGGATGGTGGAAACTTAGTTTGACCAGTTCTGGACAGAAATTTGGAAATATGTTCTAAAAATCTTAACGTAATTCACAACTCTTGATGCGGCATATCCCTTCCCGTGGTCCCTCCACTCTCCCAGTGCCTGAAGACAAAGGATCGTAATGAGTCACAGGAAACAGCAGAAGGCTGGTGGTCGTATGGACAACAGTGTGTCCACGCAGTGGACGTCAAACAGCGCATACAGTCATACCAAGGGGAACATGCAGTGCCGTAGCTTGTTCATAATGGTAGCTTGTTCACGCCAGCAGCGAAGAAGCCTGGAGAGAGAGTGGTGATGAAATCATGAAAGGATTTTCCTCAGCTTGTTGAAAATTGAATATTTCTCCTTGCAAAAAGTGGTTCAAAGCCTGGAAGAAGTGGTAGTCAGTTGGTGCAAGGTCTGGTGAATACGGTGGATGACAGAGAGTTTCTAAGTCCAGCTTCTATGGTTTGAGCAGCGTTTGTGTGACATGTGGTTGAGTGTTGTCTTGCAAGAGGATTGGCCTGTCTCTATTGACCAATTTGGCTGCTGAATCACAAGCATCCTCATCATTTCATCCAATTGGTTGCAGTAGACATCCTCTGTAATCAATTGACCAGGTTTCATGAAGCTGTAGTCAATAATACCAGCGCTGGACCACCAGACAAACACCAGTAGCTTTTTTGGATGAATATGCGGTTTTGGACTGTGTTTCGGCACATCATCTTTATCCAACCATTGTGCGAATGCTTGCGATTGTCAAAAAGAATCCATTTTTCATAACATGTAACAATATGGTGTAGACATGGTCACCTTTATGTCGTGACAGCAGAGATAGGCAAGCTTAGAGATGATGTCTCCTCTGATGCCGGCTTAATTCACGCAGAACCATCTATCCAGCTTCTTTACCTTGCTGATTTGTTTCAAATGGCCCAATATTGTTGGAATAGTAACGTCAAACCTTGCTGCTAATTCGTGTGTAAGTTGAGATGGATTCACTTCCACTGCAGCTTTCAGCTCATCATTATCCACCTTGGTCTCAGGTTGCCCACGTGGCTCATTTTCAAGATTAAAACCACCAGAACGGAACTTCTCAAACTGTGTACGTACTGTGTGTTCGTTAGCCACGTCCTTCCCAAACACTTTGTTAATATTTCGAGCTGTCTTTGCTGCATTGGTTCCATGACGGAATTTATACTTGAAAATAACAAGAATTTTTTCACTTATCCATGGTTTCACAAAATTTCTCTAAAAAAATTTTTGACAGATAATCACAAGCCACAATGTGTGTTTGAAAGACTGAGGCTGTACCTTCACAATAAAAATAAAACAAGAGGTAGCAAAGTGAAATGTCAGAGATAGCAACTGTCAAACTTAGTACTTAAGGAAATCAGACATTTCATGCTTAATAACCTTAATATTTCTTAAATAATGAGACTTGAAAGTCGAAACTCCTCCTTGATCCATGGGCTGCAGAATGGATGTCGGGTCAGCAGGCCTGAAACATTAATATCCTTGTACATTTCGATCGAAGCGCTTAGGTGACCGGGTGCATTGTCAACGAGCAGTAACGTTTTGAAAGGAGTTGTTTTTTCTGAGCGGTAGGTCTCAAAGTGGACTTAAAATATTCAGTAAACCATGCTGTAAACAGAAGTGCTGACATCCAGGCTTTGTTCTTCCATTTACAGAGCACAGGCAGAATAGATTTACCATAATGCTTAAGAGCCCTAAGATTGTTGGGAAGGTAAGTGAGCGTTGGCTTTAACTTAAAGTCACCAACTGCATGAGCCCCTACCCAGAGGTTCAGCCTTTGGAGCTTTGAAGCCACTGAGTTCTCCTCTCCAGCTATGAAAGTGCCAGACGGCCTCTTTTTCCAGCATGGGGCTGTTTCTCATCTATTTTGAAAGTCTGTTGCTGACAGCTGCTACCTTCACCAATGGCCTGAGCTAGGTCTTCTGGGCAACTGGCTGCAGCGTCTCCATCTGCACCTGCTGCTTCTCGTGCTGTCGTGCCGTGGAGACGGCTTCCGTCCTCAGTGGCGTGAACCGACCTCTGCTGGCTTCAGACTTTTCTCTGCTGCTTCCTCACCTCTCTCGGCCTCCGCAGAACTGCAAAGAGTCGGCCCTTGCTCTGGATTAGGCCTTGGCTCACGGGAATCTTGTGGCTGGTTCGATCTCTGCCCAGACCACTCAAACTTTCCGCACATCAGCAACTAGGCTGATTTGTTATCTTATCAATATTATTTGTGTGTTCACTGGAGTAGCACTTTTAATTTCCCTCAAAACTTTTTCCTTTGCATTCACAACTTGCCTGTTTTTTTTAATTTCAGAATATTACAGGGGTACAAACGCTTTGGTTACATAAATTGCCTTTGCACCGCCCGAGGCAGAGCTACAAGCGTGCCCATCCCCCAGACAACACGCACCACACCCCTTAGGTGTGCGTTTACCCATCCCCCCTCCCCCGACACCTGCCCAACACCCGGTGAATGTCACTTCCCTAGAACTATTTGGCACAGGAGGCCGAGCTTTTGGCCTATCTCAGCTTCTGGCATGCCTTCCTCACCAGACTTAATCATTTCCAGCTTTTGATTTAGAGCGAGAACCACACATGGGACTCCTCCTCTCGCTGGCAAGGAAGGCCATGGTGAGTGACCAGTTGTCGATGTTCAATATTCTTGAATCTCAGGGACAGGGAGGCCCGCGGAGGGGCAGGGAGAGGGGGGACCTCTGAGCGCAGAGCAGTCAGGACACCCACACTTACCAATTAAGTTCTCTGTCTGACACGGCTGCGTTCTGTGGTGCCCCGGAACAATCACCGTAGCGACATCAAAGATCACGGATCACAGAAGACCACAACACATACGACAATCATGAAAACTTTACACTATCGTGAGAATTCCCGGAATGTGACGTGGAGACACAAAGTGAGCACACGCTGTTGGAAAAACGTCACCGACAGAGGTGAGACTAGCCGGACACAGGCTGCCACGACCCTCCCGCTGTGTAGACGCGGTGTCTGTGAAGTGCGCTAAGAGCAAGCACCTGTGCCTGCCGTGCGAGCAGAACCTCACGCCGGCCCGCGAGGAGCCCACAGGACACAGCGACGCACCCGCGCACGTCCTAAATGCAGGCGGGAGGCGGACGCTCAAACGCGGTTACGGAGGGTCCGTGACAGCGAGCGCGGGGAGGCCGGTTCGGGGGCAGAAAAGCTGTCGGTTGCTGTGTTTCCCTCCATCTCTTCCCCTGCACCCGAGGTCGGACGTTTGGGGAGCTGAGCACACGCACACGGCTCCGGGCCGGAAAGACGATACCAGGGGAGGCGCTGATGCAGAGAGATAAACGCCCTCGGGACACGCTGCCCAAGGACACCGGCCAGGAAGGACGCGGAGCCCATCAGAGCCCTGGGACGCCAGCTGCCGCCCCGGGAGATGCCTCCCAGCAGGGCTCAGAGGATGAGCAGCCTCAATTGTGTCGACTGATAAATAATTATGACTTGCTCTCCCAGAGGGACGGCAGAGAATCCCTTAGTTGAATAAATAAACGGTGAGGTAAGACAGGTCCAGCCAAAAGCCCTGCTAAGCCAGCTAAGAGATAGGCCAGAAATGCGAGCCTATAAGGGTTACTTATAAAAATCAATATTTTAAGCAAAACAGTGATTAATCGTGGGCTTCCCTTGCAGACAGCCCGGGGTGGGGGAGGGGAGAGCAGCAGCCCAAGGAGCCCCGTGCACGCAGCCCCGCCCTCCGCTGAGCTGGTCCCCGCTGGCGTCTGCACCGTTACCGCCAGCCACCTTCTTCTCTGGCGGCCACTCTTGCAAAAGAGCTTTGTTTGCATGTTTTATTTTGAGTAATCTCCGTAATAGCCACGAGAAGGGGACTTCCACTGCCCCGTGTGTAGACTGAGAAAGTCGGCTCAGCCAGGTTTGCAGAA